AGATCAAATTATAATTAAAAATATTTAAAACTAAAATATAACAAATGACAAACTTCAGGGACCAATTTGATAATTTACCATTAAATATTTTTTAGAAATTTTATTTTTCAATCAAATTAAGTCTTTGAAAAATTAGTAAAAAAATATTCTTTAAAAAATATTTTCTAAGAGATTTTAGTAAATGAAAAACTTGAATAATAAAACATCTTAAACTTTCAAAATTGAAGCACATGATCATATAAAAGATAAGCAATAACGCAAATATTCTTCAAATATTTTTCTTCTTACATTAGAGTTATGATCTTTAACATTCCCTTCCACTTTTTTCATTCATACCGCACTAGTAAACCAAAAACTCAACTAACACTTATTAATGCATAATTAAGTTGTAACACTTCGAGCTCGGGATGATAAATTTATATTAATAATAATTTTAGAAATTTTTAATTTTAATTTTAATTTTTTTATAATTTTTGAAAAGAAAATTATATTTTGAATGTATTTAAAAATAATTTTAAAAGGGAGTGGTCAAACTGGAAATAAAGAAAGACTCATTTGAAATGAAAATTTGAAAAATGTGGCTAAAGTGGAAAAATAGAAAAATTTGCCACGTAGGACGACCACGTCAACAGCACGATCAGTCACCATGCGCCGTGTGGCAGACACGCCAGTACGCATTCCACAAAGGAGGCCATGTGGGCAATATGCGTGCCAATCGATCCAACGATCCAGATTCACTCTCGCGCGCACAAACGGAGGCGTGAACGAACGACCCACACACTTTCAATCGGATAGCCCTGATTTGCTTCCCAAATAGATGAGATCCAACGGTCGAGATCAGCCCACGCGGGCCCGAATGAACGACCCAGATCGAACACAGAGAGATATTTAAAACTCTCTAGCCAGACTCCCCAAAACCCTAGCTACCAAAGATCACTGGAGAACAAGAAGAAGTGCAGCCAGAAAGTGAACCAATCGCTAGAGAAGAAGACCGACCACCGTCGCCGCTACATCAGAGACCCAAACCGACACCGGTAAGTGAATTTTTCACTCGTTGGTTCTGTTTTTTCATTCTAAACCACCCAAAACCCTTATCGATGTCTAAAAACCTGAGGGAAAACCAAAAATAGAGGGTGGAGCTCGATTAAGCCACCGCACCTAAAACTGAAAAAAACCCTCCGGTGAGCCCGAATCCTTTTTCCATTTCTTTTCATTTCTTGACCCTAGGCTATCTAACGTGTTCTTAGTGCAGGGCAACCAAATGAAGGTCGCGACTACGAGGAAAAAGTGGCAGAGCCGCTGTATCGAAAAATCAGAACCACTAATAAGTTTTAGTTCTCCTCTTTTTTCCACCAATAAAAGCCACCTAACCCTGAATTGCACAGGTTTTCACCCAGAACCGGTCGAAACTAGTCTGACTGAGAGAATGAGCTGTCGTAGATGGCAGAACCGGCATCAAAACACGATGGCGCCACCGTGCCGGAATTTTAAACCGGCCTCCGGGAGAATTTTGACAATTTTTGGGTATTTTTCACATATTTCCATGATATTTGACATATGTTTTGGTTTTAACCAAAAAACCCAATAAAGCCAAGAATCAGAAACTGCCAGGAAGCATAGTAAAAAATGCGGTATTCCGGACACCAAATCAGGGTAAGAATCTCTCATTCTTTCTCATATTACAGTTAAATTAAAGTTAAACAAGTAATAAATGAAAAATTATAAATGTTGGTAACCCTTTGATTAATTAAATATAGGTCACCAATGGAGTCAGTAACTGGTTAGTGTATAATTGTCCTTATCTCATCTATGTTGTCTATTTGTTGTTATATTACTTTAATTGCTTACTATTACTTTATGTACTTTAATTTATTAATTTTAATTATTTTTCTTTTTTATTTAATTTACTCGACCATTTTTATCCTTATCCGTTAATTCAGTTTGAAATGAATGTGTTAATTTCATTTTATTGAATCATTGGATCTTAATTTATATCGCTTATTAAACAATCATTTTATTTTTCTGTAATTATACAATGTGAGTGTTGCACGTATTTAGTGGCTAGATGGTAATGAAAATTTGTATATGTATCAACCATTGTTAAAAAATTAAAGGGGCTTACCGAGTATCACGAAAAATGATGAACGGACCTGATACATAGGGTAAACCCTGCCGTGGACATTACTCTCAATCAGACAGGGCTGAAGAATTCCATACTATAAAGGGTTGGAAATTATTTAATTACACTCATTATTGGACAAGGTATTGAAGCGGTGGTGTGTTTGGCGCCCGTCACTGAATGGGGTATAGGGACAGCCAGTTAATTACTAGAATGGATACTTGGTCCACGTGTAGTGAAATCCCCTATATACCCCAGCAACACCAGTAAGTAAGTAAAAAGGTAAATGTTGATTACTGTTGGCCTTTTAAAATATTTAATGTGAATTATTATTCTAGTTCTTTCCTTCATAAATGACATCTGAAAACTTAAAGGCGAGTGAGAAATAAATATTTTCAGTTAAATGAATTTACTTCAGAAAGAAAATAAACTCTACTGATTGTTTTACGATTTCTACAAACTTTTAATTTTTTATATCAGTGGTAAAATGTTAATATTCTTACAGAGATAGTGTAATTCATCCCTTTACTATTAATCATTTCAGATCTAAACGATCAATATCTAGATTCTAAATAACAAGAAAATTAGCAAAAAAAATTGTCTCCTATTTTTCCAGTTGCGCCGTGGATGTTGATAACATAGGTCTTTCATATTATACTTTTCTTTCTTTTATGTTTTTCAAGAGGTATTCCTGTAGACTTATTGGACATTTCAATTAAACTGTGCAAGAAATGTAATCCCAAATTTTAAATTATTTTCGTAAAACTAATAAATTTCAATATTATTTATTTAGATATTGATGGGCCTTTACATAAGTTTTTGCTAATTATCAAAATCAATGAATATAGTCTTACATATATATTAATTTTGATTTTATTAAAATTTATATTATTGGTTTGGTTTAATTTTTAAATAAGAAAGAATTTTAGAAAACATACTTTTATTTCTTATTTTGAATTAATAAATTTAGAATTTAAGTTAATCTATTTATATATTTAAAAATTTGTCTAAAGAAAATCTTGATATATGTATGTCAGAAAATGATACGTTTAAAAATCTACTTTTATCAATAGCACTATAATTAAACAGTTTTAGTTTTATTAAAATTTGTAATTAAATATTTAATATTATTATTCATTTACTCATGGAGCCTGGTAAAAGAGAGGAAAAATTGGAGACTTCTTGAGCATGCTTACATGAGAATGGTTAAGTTCATATTTGCTTTTGTAAATGTATAATAATTCTAGCAAACTTAATTAAGAATGCGTAAATACATGTATACTACAACTAAGATAGAAAGATTGATATGTTGATAAGGTTTCAGATAATTAGCTAGCACCATTAATACGAATGTCTTATATTTTCATATTTTTACGAATTCATATTTATAAATCTAATATCATCTAATACAATCGGCAACAATTTTATAACATGAAAATTATTTAATTTTCTTGTTATTAGAGTGACTGAATATTGCTTGAACTGTGGTAATATGTGGAATAATTGACGTTAACCTTCATTAATGATTTTTAAGGATAATTAAGGTCATTTGTACTTTATAAAGTTGTTATAGATATTCAAGATTTTTATAGATATTATTAGGTTAATGAAGGTTATTTTGTTTATATTCAAATATTCTTATTTTTTTTTTCATATGCATATGCAAGAATGCATGCATCACATTATTGTACGAATAATAACACATACTACTCATGCAAACTCGGGCATCTAAGAACATATATTAGCACATATACATATGTTGGTTTATAGAAATATAAAAGAATTAATTTATAGTAGTATCACAAAACACTCAAAAGAAACATAATTTATCAGGACCCAATTTTAATAATGGCTAGGATTTGTTAGAACCAAATTAATTAGGACTATTTAGATTACCCAAATTAGCAAAAGATTAGTTATGATTAGGTTAATTAGTGTAATATCATATCATCATCTATAAAAAACTGTATTTTGCATCCAAAAAAGAAGTGAATGAAAATAGAAGGATACCATATTATTTTGTAATATAATTTGAGAGGTGAAAATAGGAGGATATCATATTTAAAAATATACATATAATATATTTGGTATTTCGATAATACCCTTCGTACATTGTAAAGCAATTCAATTTAGAATCTCAACACAAGCAAAACTCACCTTAATCAAGAAAATTTTTATTTTGCACTTGTATTTAGGACGAAATCACACATGTCACCACTAGATAAGCAGAGAAGCGAGTAGAGTACTCGCCAAACGTGATATTGGGTATTGGAAATTATAAAATAATAATTAATATTTTTAGATCTGACATTCCGTAAATTCTTAAACTATATATACATAACTACGTTCCACATTTACATTACCGAAGCTCCAAAACCATGCAAAATCACCCGAATCAAAACGCAGCGCACCATCCCATATGCTATCAACTCTACTCTGTACCCCATTCCCCAGACAAATCGTCTCCCCTTCTCAAACTTCTATGGTCGCCTTCTTTGATAATCACCATCATCTTTTCTCAAGATTACGGATCCTACTTTCTGATCTTGCCACCTGGCATTCTGGTCCCACCCCCTTGTGGGCCCCCACTTCACCCTGCTACTTTCTTCTTTATGTTCATGCATGATCACAATACTGGATCTTCTGAGTGAGTTTCTGTCAGCATTCTGCTACAAACATTTTGCTTTTTGTATTATTCAAGAATCCAGAACCGAAAGTGTCTAAGCTTGCAGACTGAAAAGCCTATGAACCCAGAACTCCTCCTCCTCCTCCTCCTCTTCTTCTTCTTCTTCTTCTTCTTCCTCTTCTTCTTCTTCCTTTAATTCTCTTATCTTTTTCTTCTACAGTCAACTCAAGAGGGTACTTTTTTTGCAGAGCTTAAATGTTACCTCTCCTCATAACTTACTTCACTGTCTTCACCTTTCTTCATCAACAAACCTTCTGCGACCAATCCCAACGTTCCTTTTCTCTTCCAAAGAATCAATGCAACGACACTTGTGGTGTCTTTCAAATCCCATTCCCCTTCCACCTCAACACTTCTTGTTCTTCTCTTTCAACTGCTTTCCGTCTTTCTTGCGTGAATTCCTCGACCCTTTACCTCACTATTGGTCGGGAAAGCTATCGCATTATCGATTTCTTCAGTGACGGTCTGATAGTGGACTTTCCCGGCGGTTCTACCTGCCGCCAGTACAACGACTTGAATTCATTTGGGTTTGCCGGAAACGAGTATTTCGGAATCTCGGTTGAGAACGTGGTTGGCCTGTATGACTGTGAAGATTCTTCGCTGTGTAAAGCTGACTGCGAGACCGACGACCTTCCTGGTTGTGACGGCAACGACGGCGGCTCTCTTGCCTGCTGCTATCCGTTGTCTGATCAGAGTGTGTGGCGTTTGGGAGATGGGTTCTCTGCTTTCTCAAAGTTTGGTTGCAGGGGGTTCTCTTCTTGGGTTGTCTCGCGAGGAACAAATGCAGGGAAGCGTGGTGTGAAACTGGAATGGGCTGTTCCCAGAAATATGTCCAACAACATTTGTGATACCAATACTCACATTGTCAATGCTACCGCCATTGAAGCAGGCGTGAGGTGCTCATGTCAAGATGGGTTTGTAGGTGATGGATTTGCAAATGGAGTTGGATGCTTGAGATGTGAGTTCCCTAATTTTCTTAATCATCGTCCTTCATTTTCTTTAATTTTTTCTTCTTTCAGCAGATTGTATTATTGTATTGAATTAATAAGCCTTGCTATTTTGCCTGCAATACTGCAATCTTCTTCTGCTATTGTAGTATATATTTATATCTTCTCCGATAAAAAATGCTATATTGATTTATATGTTCAACATAACTTTGACAGCTTGCTTCAAGGACGGCCGGGAAGCACAAGGCGAGGAATGCTTTAGCAAAAAGCATAGTGACAAAAAGCTGGTAATCGTCACAGGTATGAAGCTATATATGGATTAATACTTGTTGGTGTTCATTATACAGAAAATAGATAATGGCGAATTGCATAGGCCAAATTGATCTTTATCGATATGAAAATCATTTAGATTGATGCAATGAAGCTTGTAATGTCCGTTTGGTGACTTCTTGGACAGTTATGGTAAATGGAATTTCTGAGGGTATTTTCAAATTGGCATACAGGAGTTGTTGCTCCAGCTTTCATTGTTGGCTCTTTGTTAGCACTTCTTTATATGCTGAGAAAACCTCTTAAACCAAGCACATATGATTCTGAACAAGCCCATTTTCACAGCACCATCTCCTTCCGCAAAGCATGTAGGACTCGACTATTTACATACCGCGAACTCAAAGAAGCAACCAAAGGATTCGAAGATGGGCAGAAGCTCGTCGACGACACACTCTACGCAGGGGTTTTGGGAGATGGCTCACATGCAGTTATTCACAAAGTACAATGTCAAAATGAAAGAGACCTTATTGAGATCCTATCAGGAATAGAGGTTCTATCTTCAGTCCTACATAGGAACTTGGCTAGACTAATTGGCTGCTCTATTGACTTTGGCTACGCACCATTACTGGTTTATGAGTATCCTGCAAATGGCACACTAGAGGAACATCTGCACCAAAATAAAGGCCAATCAATTGGGCTAGACTGGAACAAGAGGCTCAACATTGCAGCTGAAACGGCAAGTGTTCTAGCTTTTCTCCAATATGAAATCTCTCCTCCTGTTTTCCACCATAATCTCGAATCCAGTTACATCCTTCTGGACAATGATTTCTCTGTTAAACTTTCTGGGTTTTGGTTTCTTTCTTCACCCAGTATTCCAGATGGAAGTTTTTCACATGGGTTGCATCACAAAAATGATGTGTATGACTTTGGGTTGATACTTTTAGAGATCATTACTGGGTCTAAGCAGTTGGATATGACAACAGTGGCATTGCAGAACATCAGAAGTGGGAAACTAGAAGAAATTGTTGACCCATGTCTGTACTATCACGAGCAAGCAAGTAATCGAAGAGAGCAGATTGAGAAAGTTGCAGATGTTGCAACAAGGTGCTTGTTGTTTGGTGTAGATGGAAAAATTGGGATGATTGATGTTGCAAAGGAGCTGGTTCATATTGTGAAAGAGAATAATGATGGATGTAGTAAAATAGGAGGTGCTTTGGAAGAAACTTTCTCTAATTCAAGCCTCCTCCAGATGATCTCAATGTCACCTGACTCCATATATGTGCCTTGAACTATCTCTTCTATTTTCTAACCTAAGATGTAAGTGGTTGCATCTACATATATATATATATATATCAGCTTTTGTACATGAAGTTGGGGAGTGATGATATTGATTCTCTGAATCACTATATAAACTCATGTATGCTGTTTTAGAATCAAAATTGGTTTATGAAGAATTACTTATAAACAGAGTTTGATTCTCTCCCAAGTGAAGTGTTTTCTACAAAAGAAAATTTTGACAGAAAAATTTACAGTAAAACTCAAATTCATAAGGAAAAAAGTATAAAAAGCAACTTAAAAACACTCCGATGTTATATCTATTTTAATTAATGTAACAACCCCATAATTATTACTGAAGATTCAAACAATTAGTAGGATTGAATAAGTAATTATTCCAAAATTTTAATCTGGACCCAAATCATCCCAGATCTTTCCAGGTGAAAATTAAACCAGCACCTCTAAATGCAGACCTTGAACAGAGCAAAAGGTGAAGCAGAACATTGAAATGACGAATGCAACTCCCTACCCAGTTGTGAATTTTAAAGTAGGATAAGAAATTAAACGTGCATGCAACTTGGGAAAATTTGACTAAACAACTGGAGTGATAAATTATAAATTAAATAATGTTTTCAAATTTTCATTTTATAGAATATTTCATCATTTCTTTTATATTGCACCAAGAAGCTGCCAGCTTAATAAATCAATGCTTAGTATATAAGAAATTATAAATATTCCAATATCTCATTATTATTATTATTATTATTATTATATAGAAAGTATTTACTTCTAAGACTAAACAAAATCATTCTAGTTTATTTTAGATTTTATTTTATTTTTTTGCCCACTGTTAATCTATTAAGAAAATAATAAAAAATATATACTTAAGACGCCAAAATTTTTAAAATAATATATTGGAGGTTCTTTTAAGTATTTAATAAATACGCTACAATATATATTTGATTCTTGTAATATTATTTTTATTTTATTTAGTATTTGTTTTGATTATGTGTCAAATTAGTTTTATACTTCAGAAAAAAAAAATTTATTTGTAAGAAAAATATATTTTCTAAAAAAAAATATTGTTATTAAAAAGAAGTTTCTATTTCCAAAAGTAATTCAATTGGTTAATAATTATTTTTAACAAAATAATATTAAGATTTGTACAAATATTTAATACATATAAAAGAAAAATTGTAAACATGATTAATATAATTATATTGCATTTACGAAAAGCTTTTATTTTTTGGAAGTTGAAATATATTTACATGATTAATAAATTTTATTAACTATTTTGAAGAAACTATATATCAAAATATTTAGTAATTAATCTAAGTTTAATAGTGAATGTTATTTGCTACGTTTCTTTCAATGGTAAAATTTTGGAAAAATAATAAAAAATACAACATGAATTTGCTGCAACCGAGATTATGCTTTGGAAACCAATGGCAATATATTAAAGAGAGCCTTAATATTTAACTTATAAAAAGTTGATAAGTTTTCAATGAAATAATAATAATAATAATAATAATAATAAGACTTTAAAGATTTGGAAAAATTGAACTTTCTCAGCCTAATAATGAATAAAGTTTTTGCAAAATTCTAAAGTTTGATTAAATTTGTACCTGAGAGAAAACTTATATGTAATGGTAAATATTATAAATTATTATACTTTAAAAAAAATATTATTTCATAAAAAAAAAAGTAACAAAGAAGCAACTAAAGACTGTGGGTACGAATGAATTATTACAATGAGAGTCCAAATTTTGAGAATTAAAATAATAATAATTCAAGTTTTGGTTTTGGATTTAGAAAAGTAAAAACTTTCTGATTCAAGAAGAAATTTTTAAAGGTTTATTATTTATTTCATAATTCTTCAAATTTATTTTGTAGAAGATGTTGAGAATATTATTGATATCCTAATTGATATGTAAATAATTTTATATGCGGTTTAATGT